GTTTTATAAAACTCGAAGAATCATTTTATAAAACTTGAGAATCGTTTTATAAAACTCGAAGAATCGTTTTATAAAACTCGAAGAATCGTTTTATAAAACTCGAGAATCGTTTTATAAAACTCGAAGACCGTTTTATAAAACTCGGAGAATCGTTTTATAAAACTCAAAGAATCGTTTTATAAAACTCGAGAAACGTTTTATAAAACTCGAAGACCGTTTTATAAAACTCGAGAATCGTTTTATAAAACTCGAGAATCGTTTTATAAAACTCGAGAATCGTTTTATAAAACTCGAGAATCGTTTTATAAAACTCGAGAATCGTTTTATAAAACTCGAGAATCGTTCTATAAAACTCGAGAATCGTTTTATAAAACTCGAAGATCGTTTTATAAAAACTTGAAGAATCGTTTTATAAAACTCGAGAATCATTTTATAAAACTCGAGAATCGTTTTATAAAACTCGAAGATCGTTTTATAAAACTCGAGAATCGTTTTACAAAATCGCGAAAAACCGAAACCGCAGCAAAACGCGAACTAGTCACGACTAGTTCGCCTGCTGGCAAACTAAGCCGAGTTGGCTTAGTTCGCCAGCAGGCAAACTAGGAGCCTCCCGACTAGTTCGCCTGCTGGCGAACTAAGCCAGCTCGGCTTAGTTCGCCAGCAGGCGAACTAGGAGCTTCCCGACTAGTTCGCCTGCTGCCGAACTAAGCCAGCTCGTCTTAGTTCGCCAGCAGGCGAACTAGGAACCTCCCGACTAGTTCGCCAGAAGGCGAACTAGAGACCCCCCGACGACGAACTAAGAGGTGCTGACTTTGCCCCCACAGATTCTTATCGCCTAGTTCGCCATATGGCGACCTGGCCAAGCTGAACTAGCTCGCCGTTAGTCGAGCCGACCATCCCGAGCCTCGATCTCCCACATCCTTGATTCAAGGCATACGTCCTTCGTCACAATCTTATTCCGAATCACGGTCGAAATGTCTCCTGTTTCGTCTTGATCCGTCCTATCGTTCAAGTTTTACGATAAAAACCATAAAACTTTATTTTCTCGAAAAGAAATCGAGGAAATCGTATAAAACGGCAACGGTTAAACGAAACACCGAATATTGCCTAAACTATATGATTTATTCGAGATTTTTCGTAAAAATTGTACAAAACGTGTTTTTAATAAAGCCCGAGTCAATCGTAGAAAACGGCAACGATTAATCGAAACATCTAACATTGCTTAGCTTTACGATTAACTCGAGAAACTTATCTAAAAACGGCATCATATCAGGAAACGATCTTGTCTAAAATCTTAAAACGGATTTATCGCAAAACGGCTTGGAAAGTCATAAAATGCGATAAAAGCCACTCGCGATTTTAAACGAAGTCCAACCCGAAGATACGACGACGTTTTTGGCGATTTACTCGCAGAGAGAAGATAAATGTCAAACTTGAAGATAAATGTCAAGTTTGAGGATAAATAGAAGATTTCCGCGGGAGAAAAGGAAAGATCGAGATAAATGGAAGATTCCCATTAAACTCGAATTTGGGCGAAATGGAAAGACTAAACCGCCTAGGAAGGGAGTATATAAGCAAGAGGCATAGGGCAGAAGCAGAGGGACGAATTTCAGAGCTCTCATCTGAGACTTTTAAACCTTTTCTAGACTTAGAATTTTCCGCACTTAGAAACTTAGGCTTTTTCTCGACAAGTTTGGTTTCTATGACTGGCGCTCAATTACTAGACGAACTCGCCCAGGCAGTTCGATCTCTGGTCCAGCTCTATCAAATGAACTACGTTCAACTTGATCCCCGAAAGGGGTACATAGGCAGCCTTTCATAAGGTTTAGTCAGAAATCAATTAAACCTTTTTTCCTATCTTTTTCCGTCTTTCGTTATCGAGCTGCGACTCGACTAGATCTAGATCTAGGGTTTTATGTTTGTAACTCGCTTATGGCCCCTGCGGCCAAAGCCTTTGTAATTCCTTGTAATGATCGCAACGCTCTTACGCGAATCGGAAATAAGATCGACTTTCTTTATAAATTCGTTTTATTGCGTTTTTCATATTTTCCGTATTTATTTGGTTACTTGTCGTTGGCTTTCGCAGAGATCTCGGCTCCTCTGGGAAATTAGGGTTTTCCTAAGTTTTCTTATTTAACGGAAATCGACAAGTGTGAATCTCGGTTTCCACAGTCATCAAAGAAATTACGCAGGAATGTGTTTTTATCGTCACTCCAGGTTGTGAGAGAACCTGGTTGGTAGTTGTCTTAGCCACTGCAAAGCTTCTCCAGATAGAGAGTATTTGAAAAGCTTGCAGAGAAGATAGTCTTGAGGGACTACATTGGCTTTTATGACGGTTATGAGATCCTCGAACCTCTCCAGATGGTCCATAGGATGCTCATGGGACAACCCACAGAAGGGTATTTGTCCTACAAGTGTGTAGTACTGCGGCTTGATCTCGAAATCTCCTCTCTGAATAGCAGGGGGCGTATGGCTGATCGGTTGGTGTAGAACTTATCCGGACGGTTGTAGTCAGCCAAAGTTCTAGCTCTGTTAGCTTCTTCTACAGGTTGAATAAGATCTGTAGGTGCAGTCTCTTGCTCAGGAATGATCTCCTTCTGAGCATTCAGCTCTGACCTTCTGCATTACGCATGTGACCATATTGATCACGCAGGTCTCCATTCTCATCAGTAGTGAGAATAATAGTCGCTACCATGTCTCGCCGGTTAGTATCGATCGATGTAGGATGAGGTATATCGATCGATGTCGGGTGAAAGATATCGGTCGACAAACGGTTTTTGATGTCGATCAATGGAAGGGTGCGAGTATCGGTTGACGAAGAAGGTGTCTCGGTCGACTTTGGTAAGCGAATATCGGTCGACGAACTGTGGTTGATGTCGATCGATGTGGAACGTAAGTCTCTGCGGATGCTACGTTCCAAACTGTGGGGATCTTCTGAGTACACAAGTTGGTTGTTCTTGTTGCTTCTAGTACTATTGGGCATGTACCTGAAAGAGACAAGAAAAAATTTTGTGTCAGAAGATATATAAGCAATAAAAAGAAAAATAACTTAGACCTAATCAGATTAAATCTAATGGTGATCTTAGTTCCCCGTCAAAGGCGCCAAATTTGATATCACTCAAATTACCCTGAGGAGTGAATTACTCTCTCAAATAAGAGGTTCAATTGTAGTACTTAGGGATCGAATCCACAAGGAACTAAGGAACACAAAAGATATAATCCTAAGTGACTATGCTAGGTTGATTAAGGTTTAAAAGTAAATTGCAGTTGTGAGCAATGGTGAGTTGCTCAAGAGAGTTTGGTTTAGGTTTTAAACAATAAAAGAAAGTAGTTAGACTCAAGGTTACTATTCAGATAATCAGGATTATAATGCAATAGATGTCTTTATAAATTGCTTGCAAGATATTAAAGAACTTCAATTCTTAGATAAGCCTAATTGCTATCGCTATTAGACTCGTCCATTGATCTAACTGCCGGCAATATCGACCGATGGTATGATCACCATATCAGGCGATATAGGTAGCCGTCGATCGATTACTCTATAGGAGTATCGATCGATATAGCTTCAGACTGAATTGAATAAATGTTCACCAAGATCATAGACCGGCTCTCGCATCGTCCCTAGAGGATCTTAGCTTATACCAGATGATTTCAGGATGATGATTAACAAGTTAAATCATTCAATGATCATACTCTAGTTAGGTACTCTAGAGTAAGCATTAGGGTTCATCAGGATAATGAATATTACAACTCAACAATCCATAGTTGGGGCTTATCCCTCATAACTATTTGAACCCTAAATCTAACAAGTGAATCTACTCAGACATGGCTAAGTGATTCATAGCAGCAAGGTAATAATATAAATTCATTAGATTAGAAGATTGAACTCTTGGTTCTTTTGAACAACAAATCTCTTTGTGTGTTTCTTCTAAATCTAGAATTCTATAACCTTTATGAAAATGAGAATAAGATGAAAAGAATACTTTTATAAATCAAAGAACATAAAAAGCATGTAGAGCTTTTGAAGTACAAAAAGCACTAAGGCATAAAAAGCATGTAAAAGCACACCAAGCATAAAAGCATGTGCATAACTATAAATATGAGTTCCATTAGGTTAAAAACTCGTCAGGGGAAATCTTGTAATATTGAGAGAACTTGGGCTTCAAGGCCGAGTCAACTTGTTCTTCACGCTTCATATCGATTGATGGTTCATGGTGTACATCGATCGATGGAGTATCTCAATTCATCATCCTCTTTGCAAGCGTCGTCGATCGATTACACAGGATGTGTATCGATCGATATGTATCTCTAGATATCGACCTTATTGTCTGATCTTTATACTCATCTCGGGAAATCTCTCCTTTAAGCTCCATAAGGGCACCTAAATCATCACTTTACTCCAAAATGCTCCTGAACCTGAAAACATACCTAATAGACTCCAAAACATATATATATTATAAAATCATATAAATACCATGGTCAAAAGTGGGTCAAAACCATGGTATATCACTTATACTCTTGATCTCTCTCTAGCTCTTTCTCTTTGTCTCTTGTGTATTAGGGTTTGTCCCGGATGATCTTGCTTTCACGTTTACGCTCTCTATTTATAAGTCAAACTGTAGCCGACGTATCTTCATAATTCTTTTTCCTGTTGAATTTATGTCGTCTCCGTCATTAACCTTAAAAGGAATTATTCATAGTAATGGGCTTCTTTGTCATGGATTTAATAAGAATTAGGCCTATTTTTAACCGGGATTAAGACCCTTTCTCACAGTTTTTTTAGTTATTTGTTAAAAGAAAATAATTTGCACAAGGCCCAATATGACCTTGTGCTGGGCCTGTCACTCGAATGACCAAACATGCTATTAGGGTTTTGCAATAGGTAGAAGTGAGGACAAACCTTCAATGTTACTCGCCATAGACTGGATTACAAGCGTCGCCGTCGGTAGAACACAAGAACTGGGAAATGCTTTCTTACTGCCTTTCATGCGGCCCCCGCTTCAATCAGCAACCGCAACCACAAGACCTTGATGAACCTTAGAGGCACGGTGGTGGACATTCATGTGACCGCCCAAGGCTTCAGCAGAACGGAACTCACGGCGGCAGAAATTGCAAGTGTGAGATCTTCGAGGCCAAGTGGTACTAGAGTTGTTCCCATTAGTGTCCTTCTCTAAGGCTTTGACTTCCCAAGATTCATCATCATCCTCTAGTCTTTCAATTTACTAGGGTTCCACATCCATGCACCTCTGTACATTCAAGGATAGTTTTCTAAAGATAAATCTTAGTAGAAAAGATAGAGAATAAGGATAGGAAGATGGGGTTGATAAATAATTATGAATAAATAAATATAGGGATGGACCCAAAATATATCACAATTAATATAAAAACATTGCCGTCGGTAGAACACATGAACTGAGAAACGCTTTTTACTGCCTCTGTTGCGGCCCCTGCTTCAAGCAGCAACTGCAACCACAAGACCTTGATGAGCCTTAAAGTCACAGCGGTGGACATTCGTGACCGCACAAGGCTTCAGCAGAATGGAACTCACGGTGGCAGAAATTGCAAGTGTGAGATCTTGGAGGCCAAGTGGTACCAGAGATGTTCCCATTAGTGTCCTGCTCGAAGGCTTTGACTTTCTAAGATTCATAATCATCCTCCAGTCTTTCAATTTTACTAGGATTCCACATCCATGCACCTCTGTACATTCAAAGATAGTTTTCTAAAAATAAATCTCACCTCTGTATATTCAAGGATAGTTTTTAAAGATAAATCTTAGTAGAGAAAATAAGATGGAGTTGATAAATAATTATGAAAAACAAAACATAGGGATGGACCCGAAATATGTCAAAATTAATATAAAAGTGTCATAAAGAGGGAGTTAAACATGGATTGAGGGTTCATTCTTACTGTTTTTAACCAAATTGCCACAATCATCTAATGAATATAACTTACAAAATTTAAAGTATATTATTTTTATGGTGTCAGGTGATCCCACCACCCAACACGTAGATCCGCTCCTAATTGTGACCAGGCGCGGATGTAGCATAAAATCTATGAGGGAGTAAATCATACATAAATATAAAAATTTAAGATTAAAATGTATTAGTAGTAGAAGAAAACAGCTAGAATTTGGGCAATTTACAAAGGATTTAAAAAATTTAAGGAGGTAAGTGCTACCAACTTAATGCACTTACATCCGCCACTGGTTGTGACTTTGATGTCCTATGTAAGGTTATAGACAAAGTATGTTTGCTCTAAGCGGTGAGGCAAAAAATTTTGCTTTGCGTGTGATCATTACTAAGATTCTCTTGTTACAATCTGACGAATGACTTATATAGCTTTACACGTTCATATTATCGCCATATCTTATAGAAAATTATCGTACAATTGGTGATCGACAAGGCTACAAAATGTACATTTTACACATGTATGGGTATAATATTTCAATAAATATTTATCAATATTTACATGTGTGGGTATAGCTTTACATGGTCACATTATCACCATATCTTATAGAAACTTATCCTACAATCGGTGACCTACAAGGCTACAAAATGTACATTTTACATATATGGGTACAGTATTTCAATAAATAATTATTTAGAATAAAAATAATCTTTATTTTTTATGTCAAAGGAAAAATTTGTTTAATTTAACATCTGTAAATATTATAAACAATTAAATTTCGGAGAAAAAACCGAAAGGAAAAAAAAAATAGAAAATTTTAAAGTGATGGATTTTAATATCCGAAAGATACATGCTAAATGTGGACCCAAATAGAGATCACTGTGAATCCTTACGTTTGCTTTAAATGGGCCATTAGACAAGTGATCTAGGCCTTCTAACTATAAAGATGACCATTTTGTTGGAGTAAATCCTTAAGAAAAATGTATTTGATAAAAGACAAGCCATAGGGTAGTTTATGGAGAAAACGGCCGATTAGTATCTGAACTATGATCATATTGTCTGATCAATACCCACACTATTTTATTGTGCTAATTTGTATCTGATCTAATACAAATTTTGAATTTAGTATCTGAACTATAGTTATATTATCTGATTAATACCCAAACTATTTAATTGTGCGAATTTGTACCTGATCTAATAAGATTTTTGAATTTTGTACATGAATTTATAAAAACTGACTTTTACATACCTGTGACTAACAACATGTCGGTATTCTACTGAGGTAACTCAGTTTCTTGATGAGTTGACGTTGTTTCAAGAAAAAAAAAAAGAAACAAAAAGAGACAATTTAATTAATTCGAACCCGGGTCCCAAAACATAAATATAATAATGCCAATAACCGTTTATGCTAGAACAGATTCGTCATTTTGTTGTACCAAAACAAATATATAACCTTTGAATGGTGTTTCCGTTTGTCACAACCATGTGTCAAATGATTCATCAAATCTCTTTCTGTTTTGAACTCATATAATCGTGTTTTTTAATCTTGTTTCATCAAATGTTTTCATCAAAATAACGATTAATTATATGAGTTTTGATGAATCATTTGAGACATTATGGTGATAAATAGAGACACCATTCCAATGTCGTTTGGATCTTATCCAGTATAAGCGATTAGTAAAATTATTATGAATATATTTGGAAACGGGGTCGAACCAAGGCGGCCTCATTTTTGTTTTCTTTTTTAATTTTTCTTTTGAAGCAACGCCAATTCATCAAAAAACCGGTCCACCTAAGCATAATATCGACATGTTATCAGTCGCAAGTATGTAAAATTCAGATTTTATAAGTTCAGGTACCAAATTCAAAATTTTTATTAGATCAGGTACAAATTTGCATAGTAAAATAGTTTAGATATTGATTAGCCAATATAACCATAGTTCAGGTACTAAATTCAAAATTTGTATTAGATCAGGTACAAATTTGCACAGTGAAATAGTTTAGGTATCGATCAGACAATATGACTATAATTCAAGTACTAATCGGCCGTTTTCTCGTAGTTTATAGTGCCTTTGCCGTTTCCAAGTTGCCAAGATAAGGGTTCTAGGCTAATCTTAGAACTTTCCGATGATAAAGCCAAACATGACCAAGAAGAGCGCTTAACTTAATATGTTCGAAATTTCACACAAAATATCATCATGTATATAATTACAAGTGGATATATACATTAATGATGTACTTTGGACTAGGCCCACCAAACATTATACAACGGTCTATAAGTTCGTACATATATGTATGTGTATTCGTGTATATATATATAAGTTGTTTTGAAGTTGAGAATAATGGAAAGATGACGTCTTGCCAGCGAACTTTGGGAGCAAAGAGAATCCTTTTGCAGCTATCACACGACCGCTTCTCCCGGGCGACCACCTTCCTTTGGCTGCCCCTCACATTTATATTTCTTCATATTTTTATTTACTTTTCTTGTATTTATATAACATATATGTGATGGAAATGAAAAATATGATCTTGTTTACATAACATTTCTGTCGACATGTAATTTAAGAATTTAGTTTAACAGTAATATTAATATATGAAGAATTCACGTTTCAGAGAATAATATTGATGAGTGATTTATCTATAATATATAATCAAATCAAGACATAAAATGATTTGGGACAAGGTTTAATTAGTTTCTCCTCTAAGTTTGATTTATATGAGGAATCAGACCCGGCTCAATTATATATTGGGTCCAGAGTAAATTTTATTTGCATGAAAATAATATAAATAATTTTACTAAAATAAGATTCTAAAAATTCTAGAAAATGGCTCTAAACTCTTAGCTAAAACATGTAAAGAAAAATTGGATCTAGTGCAAATACACTCTGAGCACTACCCTTGAACCGGGTATGCGAGGAATGCTTTCGTTTTTACTATATATATCAGTCAAAATGTTATAAATTTATTACAAAACATTACGTGAGTGGACAACTCGACGACTACACTTATCGTAGAAGATTAGTCGGATCTTAACCTAAAATTTCATGATAAATACATATAACTCACTAACCGATAACGCCACAACTCCCTTTTACTAATTAGTTTATTAGTAATTTCTACTCTAATTCTTGATTTTCACCAGATCATTTCCAACCATCACAAGCTGATAGGCACCCACCTGTACACCCTTCGTTCAGCTCAAATTACTTTGTGTACGTCAATATAACGAATTATGCTGTCACATTGTTTGTTTGTTTGTTTAATACATAACTAGGTGTTTAGTCCATGCATGCATTTTAAATATTTTATAATTATTTATATGTAAATGCATTACTAATTAAAAGTTTATAATGATCCATTATATTTCTGTTTTCATTTGAAAATTGTCACGTATTAAACTTTTTTTTGAAAATCTCTTTGTACAATATCTTCATTATTAATAAATAAATTGTAAAAATCATTCCATATCATTTTGTTATGTGTTTTATATATTGAATTTTTAATTTTTTATTAAAATATATTTTCTATATAACATCACAATACATATAAGAATTATTTTTTTTTAAATAATATATTTTTTTAGATTTTGGATAATTCTTATTGTTATTATCTTAATAACTTATTTAATCAAATAAATTTTAAATCTTGGGGTTGATTGGTAGCAGCTGTGACTTTAGATTTTTTTGTTTTGAAATTTAAGCTGTAGATTTGGTACATTTATCTTTAGATTTTATTGCTGTAGAATTTTTTAAAAATTTTAAAAACACTAAACTTAATACACTAATTAATACATGCTTTAGCCGTTCGCTTAATGTCAGATTAACTATAGGTTAAATAAGACATAATCGGTCCATTAATGTACTTATCATAAACCATGACTTGGTGCATGTCAATGATCATATAAAGTATAATTTACAACTGATTATTACCCAATTTATTTAAGTTGAGTAGCTGATATTCAGCCTAATTAGATCTTAAACCCTTTATAGATTTGAACACATATATCACAAACATTATTTTAGATTAGCTCAAATGACATATGGAGTCATGGGGGCATCCATAGATGTTTGAGCTGCGGGAATCGCACGTGCCCACATGGCAAAGTTCTGACTCTAATTGGCTAGATTTGCATAGATGGCAATGCCGGAGTGATCGACGCGTTTGAAAGCACGTGATGCGTGTTCGCATTGCCTATCTATCTAATCCATTGCCTCCGTGTCTGTACTTCCAGGTAAGAAACGCACACAGACACGAATCTTTTTTTTTTTTTTCCGTCAAGATTGATTGATTAAAAAAGGCTGAAGCCTGCAAACCATACAAAGGAACTGATGGGCCAACCCAAACAGAAACTGCAACAAAGAAATTGGGCCTAAAGCCCATACCCACTCCACCAACTTTACCCTAAGCCCAAGGCACTTGACGCCAAACTACATCCCTATCTCCACACCGGACTCGTCGGAGACGGCACGACGCTGCGTCGAAGATAGCACAAACCTTCACCAAAGGGGATCTATCAACGGAGAGCATCAATCGGACAAACCAAGATCTCATCCGGATCAACCAATTACACACTCGGGACACTTCCCGAAACCCCAAATCCATTTTCTTCACTTATCACCATCATCCTCGCCGGAGAGCTTTATCTCCTCACGAGATCTCATCCAAGCCGAACCAGACACACAGAAAGTAGAAAAAACTACA